CAAAAACATTCCTAAATAAACATAATGGCACTTCTAAGGTAATTAAAAAAGATTTACGTTACAGATATGTTGGTGACAGAATAATAGTGAGTTCACAAAACGCCAAGCTAATTTTTTCACGACAAAGCCAATGCAAAGACGCGAAGAGATGCAAATTTCACTTGCATTTGGCGACACAAACAGCATGAATGATGTGATGATAGATGCAAATATGCAAAATTGCTCAAGTTCAAATATTTGAGCTCGAGTGAAAAACTTGAATGATACGATGTTGCGAAAGCCAATCAGCATTGAGAATGAAACCCACTGGGGACAGCGCCTGGTAGTGGACAAAGATAGCAAGTAAATGGGCCACTGGTAGGCAAGCCTCAATAGTGCTCCTGGAGAAGCTACATGCACTTCTAGATGGTCAGTCAAGTACCACTAACAAAAATGATCTTGTGGCCAAAGTCGCATCACGTGACGCATAAAAAATTGGCTTTGCGTTTAGTGTGAACACAGCATAAGAATTGTATATCCACTCAACATAGTAGTTAAAAACAGTGCAGTGAAAGAGGTATTCCTACATGTACTGAATGCTTACAGCAATACTGTATGGCCGGCAACAAGATCTGAATACACACACACTCTCTCTCACTGTCTCAGAATCACTGAACAGACGAAAGTTTGCAACACAACAACGATACAAAACTAACAGTTACGCCATTTGTTTAGCTGAATTTTTTTCCCTGCATCTTAAGTGAGCAGCCAGGCACTGACCAGGTTCAGCCTCAGCCTTTCTTTGAGATAAAGCTCTGGTTGTGAGTCTGGCCTTTCAAAAAGCATAAGAGGTGAATGAAGCCTGCTTCTGTTTTTCTTTTTAAAGCTTTGGAGTGATGCATGCATTTTTCCCTTTTTCTGTAACACTATTTGTGACAAAAAGCATTATATCAGGCCTGTTTTCTCTTCACTAAGGAGCTCGACCTTGATGCTCTGTCGACCTGCAGCTCTTTGACTTGAATGTCAAAGGACCAGGTAGCTGGCGAGCTGAGCCGTTCCACAAACTGTGGTTGGATTTAGTGGGTTCCTGAGTCAACACAGTTTATTCTATTTCTTCCTGTACGGACTTTAAGAAACATAGAGTGTCTCGCTCGATAAGGCACTGACACATAGAAGCCACTCAACCGACAGAGTGACAATAATAATAATGTAATAATAATAAATAATAACAGGCCTAAAAGGAAAACTGAAATATATTTGTCTTCTCTTCAGTTTTCGGGATTGTTTTGGTTTTATTTTAGTTTATATCCCTTCTAGGGGATATAAGTCACATCACTAAATATAAAAATTAAATAGTATTATAATAATTAAAATTGTGTATAAAAACCATAATAATGTACATGGGCGAATAACAGTATATTTTCCCCACTGGGTGCCCCTCCCTTATGAGCCGAAGTTGTGGAATGGTTGAAATATGAACAGGCACGACTCCGAAATCAAAGTGCTTAAAGTTGCTGTTGACAACGATTGCCTTGGGTGGTATTTGCACAGGAGAGGGGCTGCTGCGAGACAGTGGAGACTGCTGCTCTCCTCATGTGTCCGTCCACTGGTAGCACAATAGACGTGACAATGGACAAGGGAATTCGGGTTTCGTCATCAGATGGCCAACCAATGTCTGAGCTGGAAAACAAAATAAAGTGTTGGCAGTTGTCGTCAAAAGTGTTCTTTATTTTTGCTTTCTCACTGATGGAGTTTTTCCGAATGTCATGCAGTGTAGTAGGTTGTTTCCTCATATTTTGTTTTAGAAGTCTTATTTAGCATGTAAGGCCCAAAAAAAGAAGCAAATTGAGCTTCTCTCCCCCAAAGAAAACATTGTTTCTGAAGCCCCTAGAGTAGTTTGGGCCACATGCCATCACACTGCACCACATTTGCATAAGACACACCTAGTGGCTAGTCTGTCTGCCATTTTGCCAATGTTTTTTACAGTAGTTTTTCCCCACTGGTCTGCCCTGTTAGTCCTAGTGCACAAATCAATTTGCAAGTTTCATGTGTTAAAATCCAGATTAACTGCAGGCTCCTTCAAATTAGTCAGAAAAGACACTTACTGTAAATTGCCGTATATTTCCCTCAGCCACCAAATGATGCTCATGTTCTGGAGTGATACAATATGCTATCCTCTGCAAAACAAGTAATAACAACACATCAGTCTTAACACTGAGCTCACAACATGTGTAACATCTACAAGAAATACTGTATATAAATTGGCCCTTTAATAACTTACCGTACGCACTACTGTCAAAGTAGGTAAAGCACATTTTCATAGAGACAGGTTTATATGGAAATTGACTTAGTTTAATGTCTAAATGTTTCTGTAATAATAACAATGCAGAAGCAAATATTTCGGAGATTATATGGGATTTGCAAAATCTAAATTTTTTGGCACAGAAAGTAGCCAAACATACACTTCTCTGTTCGATGGAAATCAAATGTTGCTGTGAAGGGTTTCATGATTCTGCCTTTGTTATGATGAACTTTTGATAAAAAAGACTGTTTTGGTCCTTACTTTGTTTTCCTTTTGTGTTTAGTTAAGTGTTAGCTGTGTTTGGGTTGTTCATTCTGAGTTCTGTTTCCTGTTTTATTTTGAATTTCTGCTCCCTGTGTCTCTCTAGCTTAACTTCCTGTCTTTGTCCCATTTCCTGTGTGATTGTCCGCTCCTGCTCCAAATGTGGTTCACCTGTGTTCTGTTATCCCCTCCTCTCTGGTGTATATAAGTCTCTGTGCTTCCCTTTGTCTTTGACAGTTCCTCTTGTTCCCTGTGTTCCATACTGGTTGTGTGAGTGCCAGCTCTTTTCCTAATGTGTCTGTGTAATTATTTTTCGGCCGTTGTTTTTTGGACCCTGTAATGTCTGCAAGACCTTTCGTTTGAATTAAAATCCTTTTTTTGTTTTTCACCTGGACTTGTCATTTGAGTCCATCTGCTCACCTCATCACAACAAAATGTTTTTCTCAGAGGTGCTCTTCATCATGTGAAGCCTCCATCTGCTCTTCTTCTTCTGAGGTCAAACCCTGGCACTCCATGTTTTACTTATCTAGCCGAAGGACAAACCCCTGACTAACCCGCCTGTCTCCCTTTATTACTTCACCTTTTTTCTTGCCATTATGATAGCAATTTACTGTACGACCCATACCTGCAGTCCAATATAAAACATTTAACCGAGAACATTTCAATAATAACTTTCCACAGATAATGTATGTACTCTAAATGTTCTTTTATTACTTGATAATAAAAATGCTTGTCTTCTTTAATACATTAGTTAAACAGTTATTAGGGACATTATCTCTGCTTAGTGATGCCAGCTCTTTTCAGAATCGTGTGAGGAATTCTCAGAGCATTTTATTTTTGGGTCATCATGAAGAGAACAAAGCTAAGGAGTTTGGAAGATTTCAGGATTAACCTGTGAGGAATCTTCAGGCGTGAGTAACAATGTGAAATGCCTGTGGGATGTAAGACCTGTCACAGTCGAGTGAGTTGTTGACTACTGAGGGTTGAAAAAAGCTCTCTTGGATAATTACAAACAGAAACTCAGACTGCTTTGAAGTGATGATTTAATCTGAAAGTCAAATCTCTTAGTGTCATCAAGAGTTTCCTCCAAATCAGACAGTTGTTTTCAAGTTGTACTTGAAAGACAAACATACTGAAAAGCCCCTTTGGCCACAAATGTACTGTTTACCACCAATTACAACTACGTAATGTCTAGTGTGTGATGTCAGGTTTTTTTTTAAACTGTGCACAAGTGTAAACTGTTCTCACACTATGTTGGAGTCAAATTGTTACTATTGTTACCATAACGTCTTCCTATTACAACATAACAGAAATGTCAGACAATAAATACTCAAATTAGCAGGCCAGGACAATTATTACTGAGCCCTCCCTGTCCTTTACTCAGAATATAAACTGCTTCCCTCAGGTGGACTCAACAGGGTTCCAAATAAACACAGGACGAGATGAATAGGTATAAAAACCCTTTCATTCCTTTGATAGTGAATCTACTAAACTCAGGACAGAAGAAGGATGTGAGAGGAGAGACTATGTGACCTGACTATGTACCTGCTGCACTTATGTCTGTACTTGTCTGAAATATGGACTCTATTTTATTGTATATATGTATTTTTATGTCACGTTTATGTCCAAGACAAATTTCCCTCAGGACAAATAAAGTAATCTTCTTGACACTTGAATCCTGAAATATGAATTCAATAGCAATAAGTATGCAAGTTAACAACATTTTTTACAACTTCTGGGACAAACTTATTTGGATACTGACCTGTTTGAACGTTCCTGGTACGCTGAGGAATTTATAAATAGCATAGATGGGGACAAACAGCATGGAGGACATGGCCACACCCCAGCCAACTACATTGGACCAGTAAGGGAAAGTGTAGTCATCATACTTTAGGCCCGAAGCTGTCACAGTACTGGCTATTACCACAAACTGTAAAGGACAATGAGAGGGAAAGAGTAACATTAAAATCTTATTTTTTATGGATGAGAATATAAAGTATGTTTAATCTTTAACATCAAAAGGTTATCATTTCCCTATATATCAAAAGATCTATATTTCAACAATAGTAATTCATATTTTAAATGTTTGTATTATTTGTAATTTGTAATCTCACGATATCCCCAAATCTCCTCATTACTGTGAAAATCCCTCTCTTGTCCAGGAATGGCTGTCAGCAGCCGTACGTATTAAAGGAAGCACATGGTTGTCTACACCCACCCCTGGACGACAGCGGGCCGAGCCACGTGCTTCCTCTAATGCACGTGGAGTCGCAAAGTACTTATTTCACCAGCCAGTAATAAAGTTGCCTGGAGTTGGAGAAGGTTCCATCTATCCTGTCTGTTCTGTCCTCCCTCTGGGAACAGGCCACAAGCACCTCTGCAGATGTTTGAATATGAGGTGCTTTGTAAATGGTTTTGCCTGTGTGCTATTACCTCTATTTATTCTAGCTTGTATTGATTCTGTTATCAGTGCAATTAAAGTTCCTATGCTGGCCAGCACTGTTTCACCGATGCATAAGCCACTGTTTGCAATGAATGATGGCGCCCTACATCTTGCAAGCATTTGTGCTGGGTTTACCACACATTAGATTATTCCTGTCCAGGAAACAAGCCCTAGATATAGTTTCTTTACTCCTCTCACCAGAAGAAAAGCTGGGCTGACAAATTTCCAGCACAGCCTCCAATAAAGACCTGGCTTAAAGCCCATCATCCGCTCAATATCTTCGCTGAAGCGGTCCACACCTGCAGAGAGATGTTACAAAGCACACGTTACTGCAGAGATAAAAGTTACACATGCTAAACATTTTAGTCCACGTCAAGCTCTCTAGTCAAGCTCTCGCCAAGTATGGAGTCTCAGCAGACAGAAGCAGAGCAACACTGACATGATGATCTACACTCTCATAGGTGACGTAATCCAGTATGTGTCTTTGATTCATTTCCTTCACTGTCCCATCAGGACTACCATTTTTCCCATTTTCTGAGGGTGGATAGATGGTGACAACAAAGTAGAGTAAGCTCGGTAGTTTAGATACACTCGATATTTGACTTACTCTTTTATATCTTTAATTTGACAGCCCTGCATATTTGAAAGGATTTTTTCCAACTAACTTGACTTTCACCTGTTTTACCTTAAACACCTTTTGTCACTACTGATTCTTCTATCATCTGCAAGTTTCAATGTGAGTGTAGAGATGTTTCAGTTTTCACTTGTTAAATTCGGTGTCATGTTACAATGTCATTAGAATAGATCAAATAATGTAAAGGGTTGATAAATAAATGTAATAATAAATAAATGTAAGTACTCACCATAAAACCATGACACTCCAATGGCCTCAATCAACACACCAAACAGTATGGAGGTCCCTGCGGCATACTTATCTAGTAAAGTCAGCACGTAGATCCCACCCTTTAGAGAGGAGAGGAAACAGAGAGGATTTCAGCGTGGGTGTGTGTATGTGCCACGTGTGGTATATAAACCTTCACCCTTAAAGATAAGTGGCCCCCTGTGTCACAATAACACTAGTGTTAACATAATACCCTCTCTGTATCTGCTTGCCTTTCATTGGGAGGTGAATGGAAGTGCTCTTTGAAGAGTTGAAGTCTGAGCGTAGAGTAAAGTGACATGATGACAAGGGGGTTTTGTTGAGCGTCGGAGCTTTTGATTTGGATCCCGAGGATTAGCCTGGGCAAAGCATCATTCACTATCCCTAAAAAAATATTAATTTGATTTCAGAGAAACCATGTGATTCATAAGAATCGCATCTTTCTGTCTCCCTGAGTCTGTGTACTGTTCAGCATTTCTCATCACTGCTAAGTGAATGCATGACGACCTCTGAGAAATCAAATGATTTGCTCCCTCTGTACAGCTCTAATAAAATTCTAATGTGTTATCTGATGTGACTCAACAGCTCTTTTCATCATTTCTTTGAGAGTTTCATCATCAGGAGACTTCAGTTTGTCGTTCCAGGAAAGGGCGGAATCGGTATAAATCTGTGATTTCTCTTGTTTTGACATTGCAAATCAACTCCAATATTCAAATATAACACAACATTTAAATGTATTATATTTTAAAATATGAATATTTCTGCCAGGTTTTAAAGTATTTGTGCATGGACAGTATCATGGCTGAGTGAGAGTATGAATCTTTGTCATATTGAAGTGAGGCTTTGAAATGTGCTTCATTCAAGTGTTGTCTGCGATATATGGTGACAATATGACACTGACATTAGTAATGCAGAGAAGGGCCACCAGGAATGTTCCAAAGGCTGTGGCAAAGGTGAAGAGTTTCCTGTTTCTCTTGAGGATCTTAAAGTCGTCCGTCAGGCCCGTGATGACCGCCTCCATACCGCCCATCTGACACACGCAAAGAGAGAAAAGGACGACTCATGTTGCTTCCTAGATCCAAGTATAATTATCACAATACTTATAGATACATAAAGTATGCTTAAGTATGCAGATACATTCAGTAATGTATAGTCAATAAAACAGCTGTGGTCCCAATGTATTTATTCTCTTATGCAATCGTCCAAAAAAATAGTATTGCAGAAACACTAATTTAACTATAGAGTACATACCTCCACCCAGGCCCAACAGTCCCCTTAAAAACCATATTCAAATTGACTAGATCCCCTCTGAGAAATTAATGAAAATGTGGAAAAACACCCATTCTCAGAAGAAAGTGAAAATAAATTCCTGAGCCACAGAATCTTATGGCTTCTTCCCTGACTCATACCACATCCTTCCACTCTGTTTTGTGGTTATCCCTTCAGTAAATATAGTGTAATCTTGTTTATAAACAGACAGAGATATAACCTCCTTGATGGAGCTAATAACAGTGGACACCTCAATAGATCATTTCTAAAAATCGTCCCTGCAGAAGTCCATTTACAGACATTTAAAGTAATGAAAATGCTTTTTTTTTAATGTAAAACAAATGTCCATCCGTTATCTATACCACTCATTCTTTCAGGGTTGTGGGAAGCTGGAGCTAATCCCAGGTTGCCAGGGCCCACATCAAACACAAACAAGCTGTCACACTCATATTCACACATTTCTTGACTTAAACTATTATCTTTTTACAGTGGAATGAGGCTGGTACCAACAGAGGAAACCCATGCAGAGATAAAGAAAACATGCAAACTCCACACAGTTCACAAGTTCAAACAAGGATCATCCCTGGTGTGAGGCAACAACGCTAACCACTGCGTCAGTGCCAGTGTACCACAATATCTTTCAAATCAAGACTGGCATGGGCAAGTCTAACCTTTTAATATATAACAAACTTTAATTCAATTTTGCATTTACAGCATCATATGTCCATTAAAACAGGTTGATAGAATTTCACTTTTGATGAATTTAGTTAAACTTTATCATCCAGCAAGGGTTGGAGGTTTTTCTGTGGTTCTACTTCACTGGTATTATTGTGTTAAATATAAAAAAACACATTAAGCAATCAAGTCATAAGGCTGCAGGTTTATTTATGTTAATAGCACTCAACAGTCTATTTCCACATCAGTCAGACTCTGGGTAAACTTAGTTAAATTAAATAAGAAAGGCTTCTTCCAGGAGGGGGAAATTGTAAACAAGATTAAGCAATAAAGTCATGGTAGTCTGACTTTATTTAAAGTGCTGTCTCTCAGATTTGAACTAGCACAGATTGTATGCAGTTTACCAACAAATGTCAAATTTCATGGGAAATCCATTTACCAAACGATACTGCACATGGATATCACTAACCTGGAAGTTTGTTGACCTATACACTGTGTCTGCTCTGTTTTTCTCAGCCTCGGGTCAAAAACGGTGAACATTAAGACATTTTGTCCAATGATGTTTTAATAAATGTCTGCTCGAATGTAGCGGAAGCACAGTGCAAACCTATATGTGGTTTGTATTTCATCTGATTCTTGCGCATTTGTTCATGTACAACCTGCAGCACGCTCTGTCCATTCAATCCCACGTGTGGTCGTAACGATATGATCTGCAGACGAAGTGTTTGTTGGGACTCACCGAGCTGTCGATGCCCAGCGTCAGTAACATGATGAAGAACACGATAGCCCAAAATGTTGAGCCAGGGAGTGTAGAGATTGCCTCAGGGTAGATGATGAACACCAATCCTGCCCCTGTAAGTGCACACACACAAAAGTTATGACGTTCCCAGACTAATTGATGCTTTTACAAAGCGAATATAAAACTGAATAAAAACCTGCTCACCCTCTGTTGCCACATCTTCTATTTTCACCCCATGTTTGTAAGCCATGTATCCAAGCACAGAGAAGATGGCAAACCCTGAGAAGAAACTGGTGACGCAGTTCACAGTGCTGGTCAAGAGAGCATCCCTAGAAAAAAAGTTACAGCTTGAGTTAAGATTTGCTAACTTGCAAATTTAATAGAACACGGCAGCATTTGTGTTACTACCATTGTTGAATCACTGCTAAGATCAGTGTTGCTTCACCATGTGTTGCTTAATATCTTTCAAGTTTCTCATGAGTCTTCAGCCCAACACTGTGTTTTCAGAGAGATATTCACGTTAATTAGCAGCTTTTGTCCTCTGTGCCCGGTTGGTGGTTCGATCGCTAATTACTGTGCTGCTGTTGTGGCCTCACACCTGTGGCTGTCGGCCTCCTCCTGAGCCGAGGAAGCAGAAACGTCTCAACGATACATTCTCTTCCCTCTGATTTTTCCTCTGATCTTAGGCTCTTTTTTGTTTTCGTTTGTTTTTGTTCACAGAGCCGTTAGCTCACTCAAAACCAGCTATGTAACAAACAACAGCTATGTCACAACATGAGGATAACATATAGACACAAGGAGGAAATAAGTCCGTTGTATACATCTCCAAACTTTCTTTTTTTTAATATTTGAAATAAACCATTTTAATCAGTTTTTAAAATGGATAAACCAGATAATCCTGACACATCCAAAAAAGAAAGGCAGTAGTGTTGCCTCCTCTTTTATGTTTTATATATTAAAACCTGGTTAAATAAGCTATGTTTTATGTATTACATTCTTATAAAAAAAATTTAATCTATTCAGTCAAGTGTTCAAAATGGAATTAAGAAATTAGATTTTTTTTGTTTTGTTTTTGCAAAGTTTCTTCTTTTGTTGTCTGAGGGTCTTACATACTTTTACCCTGGTTGTGAGAGCCGAGGGGGTCCACCCTGGACAGGTCGCCAGTCGATGCAGGGCCAACACACAGAGACAAACAACCTTTCACACCTACAGACAATTTTGAGTCCCCAATTAACCCTAAACCACGATCTGGACTATATCTTTGTACTATGTGAGGAAGCCAGAAAAACACATGCAAACTCCACACGGAAAGGCCTCGGCCAAGCTGGGATTCGGACCGGGAACCTTCTTGCTATAAGGCAAGTTAAGTTGTCTTATTTTGTTCCTGACTCACACTTTTCCGTTCCTGGTCCTTTCACCTCTACACACCTGTTACTGGATTAGTTTCCTGTCCCTGCTTTTCCTGCCTGGTAAACCCTGTTCATGTAATCTGCCCATTCTATTGTTCCTCTGCCACGTTTGGACTTTTTGCCTGCCTCTTGTCTGTTTCTGGTTTCTTATGTGAAGTGACTCTTTGTGTACAATCATTTGGACTTGATTAAAGACGACATATTTTGTATTAAACCCTGGGATCAGCATCTGATTCCTCCGTCAGTGTAACAGACATTTTTCATTATATTTCACCCGTTGGAGGATCAATTACTTGAACCATTTAACTTTTTATTCTGTGACAAAATCATTTCAGCATTAACTGACGCAGCGATGTTGTGAAACTACAGCAAGAAGGTTTGGCTGCTATGGACAATGGAAAGTCACTAACAGCACCTCTGCATCCCATTAACATGGAAAACATGAGCCAACCTCATGCCTGCTTTTCGTGAGGAAGCGCAACATTATGACAACTCAGTGGACATACAGCACAGCCCCAAGCCATAATCTGACAACCCTTCCTGGCCTGTGCTTTATCTTTTCTGTTAACACTTGGTCACCGGGGTCAGCTGGACAGATTAGCATCACCTGTATCCAGCTACACGTCGGAAACGGCCGACTGCTTAAAAACACCAGGATGCCTTGTGGCTGCTGGCTTGGTTTGCAAATATACTGCAAATGCCTACCTGTAGCAGTTGTTGTCAAATTTGTTATAACTGGCAAAAGCAATGAGCACACCGAATCCTGCTCCGAGTGAGTAGAAGATCTGGGTGGCAGCATCGATCCATACCTATACAGCAAAAATAAAAGACAAATAGAAGAATAAAAAAGATTCCAAGCACTGTTTTGAATAGCCTATACATGCTAACTCTGATTATGTAGCTTTTTTTTATTCAAATACTGCATTATGACCAATATGTGGAAAAGTGAATCCTTTATTCTCCTGTACATTTTAGGCAAGATTTAATCCCTGATCCAGACGGCATCCTTCCAACAAGTTTGATAGCAACTCCTGTTGCTTAAAAACAAGCCAACAGGGGTGAAAATATAACCTCCATGCCTGAGGAAACCACTTGTGGCATTCAACTTGGTTGAATGCCACAAATTTTCTTTTTGAACTTTTTGTCAACCCCAACACATGAATATCAGTTTAGTTACAGGAAGATTGTATCTTAAGTATGCGTGTGTAAAGAGTACATTCATTCATTTACAAACATCATCATTGGAAGCACTGCTGAGTATCCAGCCTTTAACCCTGAAGCTGGAGATACTCCACCCTCTTAATTACAGTGAGACAGACAGAGGGCTCTTTAAATCTACATAGCCTCTGGCATACGTGTGAGATGAATGGACAGATAAACTCAAAGGCTAACATGAAACCATCTAGATATCAACAAATAACACCGAGCTGAAAGGTCTGCCCAGCTAAAAAACCTGGGATTTCAGACTCAAAGCAACAATCATTCCCCTGCGTTGACCTTATCAAAAATAAGTCTTTCATCTGCAACACTCATGGATGAGTTCAGATAAGATAAGATAATCCTTTTAATAGTCCCTCTAAGGGGAAATCCTCTGACCTCCAGATTGTTGAGCCGCTTGAAGTCGATGTGTAGGTAGGCCCTGATGCCGTCCATGGACCCCGGTAGAGTTACGCCTCGGATCAGCAACACGAAAAGGACCACGTAGGGCATAGTGGCTGTAATGTAGACCACCTGAACACAAACACATGACAAACAAGGGGCACAAATACATCATATTGTCCCGATTATCAATAAATGAATATTGAGAAATAAGAAAAAGTAATGAAAGTATACTATAAACAGATTCTGAATGTAAATATCAGAATCTATAGGTGACGGACAATATTTTGGCAATTTCTGATTTCTGTTTCTAATTTGATTTATCAAATGGATTAAAGTCTTGCACCAGAGAACCCAAAATATTGGCTGTTGACTGCAGAGGATAATTTGCCTCTAAACAATAGTCAATGGGCCTGGGATTGGTACAAGAGTAACTACAGTAGGTAATATAGCATTAAATGTAAAGGCTGAATTGGAGAGTCCAGCCCTCACAATGTTTATCACTGCCTGTTGATCCAGTATCATCAATTTATACTGATGCCTAGGGAAGTATTTGCTACAAAGTCTTCTACAGGTATTCATGTAAAGGTTATTTTTTATTGTAAACTGAAGGAAATGTTAAGAAAGCAACGGTTATTGATGAGTGCTGATCCAGGCCCATACCTTCCCTGAGGACTTGACACCTTTCCACAGGCTGAAGTAGAGGATGAAGACCACCACAACCAGACACAAGGTCAACTCCCAGCGAGGCAGGCCAAGGTCCTGGATACCCCTACTCTCATGGAGATGCAGCACACCCCGTCTGCACGAACACAAACAGACAAAATGAAATAGAAGGTAGCTACCATAATATCTAAAAGGTCGTCTTTGGTTTTGATATATACTGCAAATTCATTTTCATCCTACAATAGTTTTCTATCAATCAATTTCAGGTGATATGTGATGAATCAAACAGCGTTGTATTGTTAATAGATGACAAAAATGTGGGATTAGGATAGGATTATAATAAATACTGATATTGGGCCTCAGCAATGCATCAATGACTTTAAATACAATAAGACAGACATAATGTTATCTTATGTTACTTATTTCGGCCATATCTTACATTCAGATGTTTATTGTACAATAGGCCCATCCAGGTGTTACAGCAGCTGGGAGAGTCTAAACCAAACAGCCCACAACATAAGGCCTGAGGTGAAGATGTGCGTTACATTATGTCACCTCAGTTTAATACTGACAACGAATGCAATTAAAAGTTATTCAGCAGTTACGCAAGTTACATATTTTTCACTTAGCGTGAAAGTATCCAGGTAAAAGCTCAGTTGTCTGGCTTTTAAAGTGAATTAACCTTCTCTTTCTCATCTCTGCCCCGCCACACGGATGCTTTAAAACTGTCAATAATGACCTCTGGGACTGTTTCGCTATTATCAGCCATCCTCGAGCAAAACACTAAATGTCAGATCGGTGTGGGAGTTCAAAAGTTCAAGTGTTTTATTATGACATAATGAAACAAGGGGAGACAAATGTTGTCTCTTCCTCCCCTGGCCAACAATTGACTCTAGCTGCAAGCTCATTCTTTAACTTTGTGCTCTGAGTAGTGGGAAGGAAGCGTTGTATCGCACAACTTCAGTGTACAATACTGGAGTAGGAGCAAAGTTCACAAATTACATGCTATAGTTCTGGTCACTGAGGTCAATGTGTCGTCCTGTCATCTGGTGACTGTACAAGCTCCAGTGTATTTAATATGTCTTCACACAATGTTGGGCAGCTCATTTAAAGAAGACAGAAAATGTTCATCGCACATGAGAGTCGGTTTACAGGGAAACATTTTCAGATCAATGATTATTAGCTTTTGTCCAAAACAGAAACATTTGTTCACTCTCATGATTCTGTTTAGTGCATAGCTGAAGTCTAGGTGTGGTTATTCTTAGATTGGCCATGGTTGGCCAATAAATTGGATATAAAAATGTACAACATGGCTGGACCCCAAAAGTGAAACCAAATGTCCTGATTGCCCCCTGGTGGCTGTCTCAAATCCTGCCTCTTTCATGTTCATGGATGGGATAAAGAGACAAAGTCAAAGTAAACAACAAGTAGATTTTTGGTCTCAATTTGTTATTTTATGGGGGGAAACGTCATGATTGACATCTGAGACTGACTCGCATTTGGTTAAGCGTGTGTATCAACTAGTTCTTGACATTCCCCTTGCTACTGCAAATTTGGCAACGGCTCCAAATGTGCAAGATAGTAGGAGGAAGTGGGATTGTCTTATCCATCTTCATTATAGACATTTCAAATCCATATCACAGTTAAGAATCTTTTTTTCTGTTAATTACTGTTGACACATACTGTGTGCAACTGTTTCCAGGAATTTAAACTACTGTGTAAAATGACCGGTATAAATCATTGTATACATAAGGCCTCAGCAGATGAAAAAGATCTGTCTGTCCAGGACTCAAGATGAGAAAACACAAGCCTGACAACTAAGATAGACTGTCTCTCTTCCACTATGTCTGATGTGTCTCCAGAGCTGAGAAAAACTCAGAGCGGGTCATGTTTTATTTGGATATCAATATCCTGCAGTAAAACATTTCAACTCCCTTTTGTTTCCCTCACATTTGACTTTCCTCAAGAAAAGATTCAATCTTGTTGGCATGTGATGTTGGGGAAACAGCGGAACTGGATTAGAATCGGATACTCAGGTTGCTTACACAACGGCTCGACACACAAGAAGCCCTCAGGAACACGCAAACTGAAGTATGTGTCCAGTGTGTCCAGACGTACAATCCGAAGGGACTGAAGGATCTGCAAAACTTCTCTTTAGCATTTGACTTATCTTTGGCTGATAATAAATTCAAAGCTATAGGGTCTTCTGGGAGGCTGATAGCAGCGTGAAGACATCAGTTTATTTGGAGAACGAAATTTAGAGTCCGTAGATGACCCAGAGGCCTTTTGTGGTGTTGTAATTCCCAGAGGCCTCCTTGTACATCTGATAGTATTGATATTGCGCTGCCAGTAAATGTTCACTATAACATCATTCCAGGTCCCTTTGGCCCTGTTACTCTAAACACATTTACTCTTTTCGTCACTACACGAGCTGGTGTGCTGCTTCCCTAACACACAGCGCTGCCATTAGCTGGCCTTTGTATACTTGAGGCTGACACAGTGTTTTAATGTTGGTTACAGGATGAGAAACGGAGCAAGCAGGGGAAAAAAATGAAATAAATAAAAAGCCTCATAGATCAAAACAGAGCTGAGAGGCTTGATCTAATTTCATCCTGATTTATCTAATTAATTACAAAATAATGTGTCATTGTTGTTTTAAAAGCAATTATTTCAGCAAATATGTCAAATTGCATGTGAAGCTTAGGTGAAATCAATCTTCTCAAGAGACTGTGTAATTAGATCTCTTTGTTTAAATGAGGGCTATTCATCAAGTCTGGTTAACCCTGACATGAAATCACATGTGGCTGCTTCAGAGTCATTCTAAAGAGAATGGATGTGCTGGGTGGCTCCTTGTCACTGTAAATTTTTCAGTTTGAACAACAGTTTTTTTTTCGCTTTCTTCAACATTATGACATATGTTTTTCAACATTTTCATTGATTTCACAGAGAACAGTTCACGGATCTCTCATGCAAAAAATATTTAGGGGACTGATATTGGGGCTGGGAGGGAGAGCAGGTCGTCCACAGAAGACTTGCGATTTGATCCCAATTTACCCCATTCCGCATGTTAAAGTGTCCTTGGGCAAGATACTGAACCACAAATCGCCCCTGACGTCATCAAGACAAGAAAAGTGCTGTATAAATACAGACCATTTACCATGATATTTATGAGTGTGTGCAATTTGGTTCAGCTCCAACTAAAAATCTGGATGTAGTGAAAAGTTCAGTATTTAATATGGTTCCATAACTGTATGCACTCTACTGAGTACCAATCTAGTTAGAAAAGTGTTGGGGGGGTTGGTTTCCAGAAGTGTTTGACTTTCGGTCCGGCAGCTTAACTCTGAAAGCTCAGTTCCAACAGCTTCATGATTTGAATGCCTTCGAGCTATGAGACAGCCTCATTCTGTAAAGTTAATTGACTTGATGCTGTGATTTGAGAGTTTGACATCTGGGAGGTTTCTTTTGAGGCTGCACGAGGTACAAAATTAATTTCAGAGAAATGCCCAGATCTTTTCTCTCCAGGTCAGTTTTTTCGGCTGCCATCACTGAGCCCCTTCCACTCCAAATCTTCCAAATAACCCCTGTCACATGAATTAAATTTCACTTCCATATCACCTTTATTAAGTCCGGTCATATGGTTTTAGTCTGTTATCATTGAATTATTGTTAAAGTTCTGCTTGTGATGCCTCAATCAGCCCAGCTTGCTGTTCTCAGCTACAATAATGTTGACTGTATTCATTATTCACTGCTACAAAAATCAACATGGTGCAGAATTAAAGTTGTTTCTGACAACCTTTGGAAAATATATTAGAGGATGAAATCAGGTTATGAAGTTGTAGAAGTGACAGACGTGAATATTTACGATCAGCTCAGTAGATTTTTGACTGATCATTATTTGGAATGTGATATTTGGTGATGAAGCAGGTTTGATGCTATGATCAAATATTTCTGCAGTTCCACTCAGCTCTACAGAGTGTGTAAGCATCTTTCAACTCACTCTTTTAGTTTTGGGGCCTGCAAATTACTTTTTGGATTTCAGGAACTAGTGACAACAGCTCCCACTGTACACTGTGCACAAAATGGTAGACAGGCACTTTTACCAAAAAAACTTGGTTTTTGGCCTTTGACTAAAATCTAATCAGTTCGTCTTTGATTCCACGTGAAGGTTTCAAATGTGGATACATTCTAAAGACATTCCTGAGAAAGCGTGTTTGGGAGGTTTTGCCCTTTGACTATCAATTTATAGTAACTTTATTTTCATCAAAGCTTTCCTGAGGTATCATGTTATCATGTGTAATAAGTGGCATAGGCCAGAAAGACAACTCCAGATGTTAAAGGACATGGTCACTGAAAGAGCTTAAGGAGATGATAATATGACCCATGTCACATGCATGGTAATGACAGGTAAAGAGTAAAAGACAAGTTTTTGCATGAGAGAGAGAACTGCCCCTTGCAGGGACAGGCAAAAACTGAAACTATGTGGTCTGACTGTCTGTGTGGATGGTAAAAACTTGATGGACGATAGTAGGAACATGCAAGTGAGCATGTGCTGCACGCAGCACATGCTCAACTTAACTTTGGATGCAGACATCACTTAATTCATCTTCCCTGAAAGGTCCTGTTTAATAGTAGAGTAGGTACCAAGTAATAAATTAACTATGGTATCACTTCTCTCTAACTTACTCCCAAACATCTGGATCATAGCTCAGCAACTCATAAAAACCCTGTAACAATAGAAATCCATTAAGCTCCTAGTAACTACAGTTCTTTTTAAGATCCCAAACTGTTACCCCTCCTTATACCACACATGTATGTGCATGTTTATGTACACACTGTGCATGTACAAAAAGCTATAATCTGAAGCCGACCATAACGTTCCATTATACAGTTTGTGTTAGAATGCAGGAGGTGAAGGAAGAGAAGTGTTTACTCAGTTGGCCTCGCTCCCTCACGCTGTGCCTTGGCATCGCTGCTGTGTGCTCAAAGCTAGCTGCAAGAAAGAGCATTTATTATCCCCTACAGAGCCCAACCCCATGCAAGTTCTGTCATGAAGTGCCGTATTGTTGTCAGTCTGTCTATGCACGCTATACGCTGATTATTTTTCAAGCACAATAGTCCACCTGGAAGAAATGGTCCGCTTCCTGATTATACAAATCATATATTCTTCTCGAGCGATATCACGTCACTTTTTTTCCTGAGGTTTTTATCAATTCACAGGTTTCATATGATTGACTTTGACACTGACTTTCTCCTGTCAAGTAGAATCCTTGACTTACTAATAACATAGCATGTGTCAGCCTGGAGGCTGAACAATATCCAGAGATGCTGATAAAATAAACATACATGAACAAGGGAGTGGAACTTCAGCAGGTTTGATTATTAGCCAGGCTGCATGCTCAATATATTCAGTGCGTCATGCTTAGCATGTGTCTTGTATTGTCTGAGTCGTTTCCCATACTTCCTCTGGACTGCACAGTCAGTCTTCACAGAAGCTATCTGTCTTTGAAGTACAGTATAAACAGATGGGGCTTTTTTTATGTGCTTCAAAGAGGACATTTGAACTTTTCATGTATACACCTTTTTACAGTGCAAACATTTATCACTGGATAATTTTTTATTCCTCCACTTGTGCTTCAGTCACTGGTCACTGTTGTCACATGGATCGTGGCTCCATGGATACATACTGTCATTGTATTAATCAGACAGAAAACAAGAAAGCATCATGTACTGTACATGTGATGCTGATGTTGTGTCAGTGTTCAACACTGACGCAGCCAAATCGTATCATTTGTAACTGTCCTAATGAGACAAACATTACAAAATGACCTACACATTTCATTTTGTTGTGGAAATCTAGACGACAGATGTTTGTCAAGAAACGGGCATCATTAAATACTAAGTGTGACTATAACAACATCTTTGATGAAAGAATACAAGACTAAAATAAAAACTTCACCAAAATCTCTCCAAATTTTCCTTGAGGAAAAAAGAGGAGATGAAAATTCTAAGTGAAGCACAACCATGAGCAAAGCACCAGGACCAAGCTGAGCACTTAAATGCTACGGCTGGTTATGATAGGATAGGATAGGATAACATAAAGTGAAGGTTAAGGTACATGACAATAACAAGGCTGGCTGACATTTGTACCCACTTCAAATACGATTCAGCTGAGAGCGAGTGTATAGTTTGGAGAGAAGCCCTGAGGCTGCGAAATCAGTGGGAAAAACCACAAACCTAAAGAGACACCTGAGGATGCACCACACAGAACCTGAGGAACCCTCACGTTAAGATGATAAATGACACTACGTTTCATTAAGTCCACTAGTAAATACGGTGGTCACATTATATATCAGCATCCCTCAACTACAGGATATTGTTTCATTGCAGATAGAGATTTAGCCTTAATGAAAGTCAGTTGCTAAAGCCGTTTTCACATGGAGTATTGGCTACGGAGTTTATCCACAGTTTGCCTTTCACACATGCACAACGCAGCGAGAGGTTTTCTGCACAGACGCTTTCACAACGGCAACAATCCCCTGCATTATTCAGGTGAGAGGTGGAGCAGTCGGGTGCAGCAGACAGAGGCAGTAAGTGACGTTTTAACTCTGCTTAGGAGATCACAGGATTTTCTTGACAACACACAGACACTGGTGTCTTCACCATCATCTTCATCGGTGTCAGTCTGTATGTGTGGCTTTTTTAACCCTGAGAAATTTGTTTTCTTTTTGTTTGTTTCTATTCATTTTTTGCGTCTGTTGCATGTAAAAGCATCATCAACCCCCCCCCCACTCATACGAGCTAAATCCAGCAGAGATCTCCTGCTGTGCTCGCACATCAAAATCTCCTGAATTTCTACAGACTTTATACAGGAAGGCCAGATGGGGAAAGTCCAGGGATAAACTGGGGCTTCACACATCACTGAGACCTTTACAGAATAAAACCAACACCTTTCTGCCACTGTCCTGACTCAGTAGAACATTATAAGAGAAGGATTTAGTATTTCATGTCTCTTACTCTTTTTTACAGCGACAGTGAGTTTGACTAAATATGATCAAAACTAACGTCTAATCTCAGGACAAAACCAACTCTCTATCTGATAAATGAATTGCTCTTACTTGTCTGAAATTACTTACTCGTAGTACTCCGCCGCCGGGGTGATCTTGTACTTGGCGTAAGATGTTCCGTTGCCAAGGATGGATCCGTTGATAGCTTTGGGGTCTGTGCAGTTTGGACTGTTCCAGCTGTTGTCACATCTGAGCCACGGCAGCTCGCTGGTCATGGAGGAGAACAGGTAGTACAGGGACCAGGCGATGATGACGTTGTAGTAGAAGCCGACGTACAGCGCGATGAGGATCACAGTGTAGCCCACTCCTGGAGAACACAGGGAGGACCAGATGGTGGTTTACTCTAACATTGTGCTGTGCATGCAAACATGACCTTAGGCATGTTACACACCTATAGCACATGTGTCTGTACCATATCACTGTCTCTACAGTATTTTAGAGCAGGGGTTCTCAATCTGGGGTCCTCGAAAAGTTCCAGGCGGTCCCTGGCACAATAGTTTCATTCCTAAGTAACACACTGACACAATGTATGACTATTTTGGCCGTGGTTACTTCTTGTTATACAACATTCAAAAGCAAAAATCTTGTCAAATAAGGGGCAGTGGTCTAATTTGTGTCAGAAAATCAGAACATCAGCCTGAGAAAAGTTCACTCGACAAACGGCCTCTTAGAGTTGATTGAATAAAGAGTCTTTTTCATGCACCATACAGTGATTAACTCCCCTCCCCGTGCGGTGGAGGGTAGATGTTGATAAACACATCCTAACTTATATATTTATACACATCTACTTGGCCTTAATGTACGCTTTGTGCTTCTTTTTTATTTTATCATATCCTAAGTGTTTATGTCTCCTCTGGAATGTAAGTGTCCTCACATGAAAACAGAGAAGTCCATAAACCCATCACCCACTCGTTCCTGGGCAGGAAAATAACAAACCCTCCTCAGCGCTGGCGCCAACAAAAGCAGGGACTGGTGCTGATTCAATAGTCCAGACAAAGGTGGTTATCTGACTGACGGTATTAAATAAGAAGTGATTGAATAAGAGGCTGCAGCGTGTAAAGGTCAGGTCTGATTTACTCTAATCCAGATACATGTTATTAGAACTCCTTCTATCACAAATCAAATAGTGAGAGGCGTTTTCCAAATTTATAACTCCACATCGCAGACAAAAAATAGACAATTTCGTAAACACCCTGTGAATTAAGCTTCACTTTAAAATGTACGCAACTTAATTCTACATCATCAGTTTATCATAATGTGCTGCAACCTTTTCTCTGCAATAAGAAACATGTTAGATTCTGTTTGACCTGAGATGTACGGGTGTGTTTCTGTCCTGGTTTGTTTTCACTCAGCAGAAGTGAGCATGCACATAAACAAAGACGGGAGTATGAAGTTGCACTGACATGAAAATGTAAAAATGCAGAGAGGTGATGTGAGAGAGACACTGTGAGGGGGAAAGGAAAAGAAAGAGGAGCAAAAGAAAGAAAGGGCAGGACAGAGCAGAGTAAGTAGGACAGTTTAAGTGGTTAAAGAGACACAAGTTAATGGACGAGCAGCTTCACATAGGTCAGTGTGTGTTTGTGTTACAGTTCACCTTTAAAGATGGGGCATATTTTCCACACTGTGGCTGCCCCCTCCCTGTTATACTGGCCCAGAGCAAGTTCCATATAGAACAATGGCATCCCCGCTATGACCAGGAAAAGAATGTAGGGGATCAAAAAGGCACCTGAAGAAAGAAAGAATGAATTACATGTTACATTTTGAGTATTTTTCTGCTCATTCATCTCTGGTGTGACTTACATTTTGCTCACAGTAACAAAGGTTTCAATATAAGAGGCCTAATGGAAATATGTATAATAAAACAAATTACCACACAGACAGGTTGGAGAGGGGCTTGTCATTCTTGGAAAAAGACCATATCACAACATACGAACAGGAAGGCTCACAGCTATTTTCCCCCTTCGCCTCAGTGGAGGAAATGACCTCCCCGTAATTGAATTGTTCTCGACATTCTCCATCACAAATGACACATTATCTAGTGTAATGAATACATTTTGCTGAGGGTCAATATGATTGACAGGGCCGACAGTGGAGCTGACCCGTCGGGGCACTGAGCACATGTTGATTTTTTTTTTTTCTGAATGGACACGTACGCAAACAGAGGACAGAGCAGTGCACCTTCTAGTGAGCACTCTGTTGTCATGAGTGCTGAAGGTAAAACAACACGATTTGATCCTTTGTTGGCTCAACCACGCTCACCTATTTTCCTCTCGCTCTCTTACTACAGGGAAGCTTCACTGGTCATTAGGTTTGAAAACAGTGCAACCTGTCCCGCTCTTGTATTCAGACTTACAGAGTAACACTTGTTTTCAAGTTTTCAGATAGTTCTGCTCTTTCACTTTATATTTAAAATCTCATATTAGGATTAGAATTGAAATTATTTACAAGTACAGGGTAACTTTTCTTGATGCGTCTGACCATGTGAAACATTAGGAGTCAGTTTTAGAGCCACATCTGCATGAGACCTTTTCTTCATTAGAAGCTTTCTAATGAACCATTACACACTTTTCAAAGGAACCTGTTGTTATACTGCACTGTTCCCCCTGCTCACTGCAGTGAACCTACAGTTTCCTATAGTTCTAATGGTGGTTATCTTTTAACCAAACCTGCACAATGTGACACCTGTATTTCCATTCTTTACCTTTTACAAAGAAATCGTGCAGGATATTAAAACAATGTATTCTGTTACAAGTTAGGAATTCACCACATTTTTTTGGACATTTTTAATCTGTCAGTCTCACATGGTACAGTTGTGGAGGTAGATGTTTTACACCTGATCTTTTTTCGATGGCATGCTTTGATAAAATGATGCAAACTATTAAAAAGACATGCATCTCCTCATATATACACCTGAGAGTATTCAAAGCTGATTAAATGAAATTAAAAGAACCAAAATCATAACTACTACACAGCACAATGACAAAAGATTACTTGATTTACATTGACTTTGTTAGTTTGGTTATTTAGTTTAATCTCAATGAAACTTAATATATTTATAGACAATTTTGAATTCATTTTAAAGACTTTAAAGTAAAAGTTGAAATTCCTTGACACTTTTTAGAATTATATTGCTACTAGGGTTTAGAACCTGAACGTGTCAGTGCGCGTCATGATATGATTGGTGACCTCTCCAAAATGTTTTAGCATCTGTTTACGCGCAGAATAAAACATGCTTAACTCACCTCCTCCATTCTTGTAGCACAAGTAAGGAAATCTCCAAACGTTAGCCAGGTCCACCGCGAAGCCAATGACCGACAGGAGAAAGTCTATTTTCTTGCCCCAAGTTTCTCGCTCGTCCTCGGAGGCTCCGGGGGGACCCGCGAGGTGGCCGGGGGTGGGTATGATGGAGGAGCTGGTGTACTGGACCCCATTCTGGTCCTTCACCAGGATCAGTTCTACCTCCTTTTTCTCCATATTGCACTGTTTCAGCGGGGCCACCGACGAGAGCTTGTGCTCTGGCAGAACCTGGATGTTCATCTTCTCTGCGGGTGGGTATACGGGAAAGAACCCCGCGCGGTTCTGATGATCGGAGTCGGTGCGCTGGAGTGAGGTGGGTAATCCCGCCGATAAGACCCGGACAAAAGAGCGTTCTCCGCTGACACTACAGCAGAGACATCCGCGTGCATGGGCTGGAGAGGAGGGAAGAGAAACAAGAGAGTTTGGACAGGTTTGGTGCTGGTGCGTAAAGTTGCAATACAGTTACGCACAGCGAGAAATACAGGTTAAGACTGCCAGGGGGGTATAGGTGACAGCACACATCCTATAGCAGACAGACCTAAAGTCTGTGCCGCATAAAGATAAAAACATTAAAGTCTGATGTGCAGCATGAGCAGGTGCCGAGCGATAGGCGCTTCAGAGCGAATTCCTCTCTGCGTCACAGGCGAGCAACAATCTACTCAATTAAAACGATTACCTTAAACATTCCTCGTAAGGATAATGAGAAAGATAAATGTTGTTTCGAATATGTCACCGTTACTAAAGCGATTTAAAGCAGTGCCACTGAAAGGCAAGTCCCTCCGTACTTGTTAAAGCTAGGGACACTTCTCCATGACCCGGTGCTGTGGTTGTCCAGACGCATCTGAGGGACGCCTGCCCATTCTGAGGGAACTATAAGACTCGCCTTCTCCAGCGGAGACCATATAAAAAAGCGAGCTTTTAAAACGCTCCCCTCTCTCTCTCTCCTCCACGTGATATTTTATAATTGAACACTTTCTCTCCAGTTTGATGTTGACTTGGCATGATTGATTTTTTTTTTTTGCAGAATCTAAAATCCCATAAACTTCTGCATCTGCTCCTGACTTGACAGGACGGGAACAGTCACATGGGAGTATACAGAGGTTTTACAATAAATCCACGAGTGGTGCGTGACATGACCACTTACCTTTTTTATAAATCACATATTTTATCTCAGTAGATAACCAGATGTCAACTTTAAAAGCTTTGGCTGTGTTTGTTATTTGAAGGATACATTTTAAAGACAGACCACCTCATGTGTCTCAGACCTGTGCTTGGATTTAACATTTTCCAAGAGACATAAGATCCTTTTACCTGCAGCTTCACATTTGAATTTTACATATGGGCTGTAACTAAAACTTTTCCCAATGTTTTTAATTCAGACTTTATCTGTTTCTTCTCTGTTCTGAACAGATTGAATTACAGTTTTCTAAGAAGCAGTAAAAGCATTGTGTTCCATGTGTAATTCAATTCCACGGCAGCTTTTGCCAAGGGCAATGATTTCTATTAGATATGGTTGATCAGTTCATCCCATTAAAGTCAATGAATGTCCTCTTTGCTCTCCAGTGCTTGTTTTTATAAAAGCCTAATAGGGCTGGTTTTGGGCGTTGTGTTTGTGAAGATTGAATAACTGCAGTGATGGTAAAGTAAAGATTCGGGTAACATGGAGGGATAATGTGATATTACTGTTTTCCCCTGAGTAAGTTCTGTTCCTTTGCACCTTTTCTGTATAGTCATGTACATTTGAATATGTTTGCAGGTGTATAGATGGGACCTGCAGTTTATTCTGCAGGTGCATATTCAGGTTATATATTGAAGAATAAAAAGGAACTGAACCCATAACCTGCACCATCATGCTGAATCCATGGAGGTGTACAGGACTGCTCGAGGCAAAATTACATCATCCCTTACCTTTAGTTTGCTCCAGCTCCAGAGGCCTCACCTCTCACTCTGTTTGAACGTTTGGGCTCTCCAATCAGTTCCATGTTATGGTTGAGAAGCTAATCGAATAAGACGCAGCCTCACAGTGCAACCCTCTGGATTTAACCTGCGCATTTGGTCCAGGTCACAAAAGACTCTGTTCCTTTTCTGTCTTTTTCACTCTGGATATGTCTTCAAATGCATTTCTACTTCTTTACATTAACCTACACACACACACACACATACACACACACACACACACACACACACACACAAACATACTTACATTGATTTCCTTGAGACTTACTCTAACTGCATAGCTTCTTGCCTAAACCAAACTTAACCTTAACCTAACCCTAACCTTAACCTTAACACAAACCTATGCTTAAACCAAACCCTAACCCTAAATTTAAACCCAAATATATAAACCTATGTTATCCTAACCTTAAAACATGCCCTAACCTTAAAATTAAACTATTTACACACACCCACAAGCATCCACACACACATCTCTGACCTTTCTGAATGTGGAGAAAAGTGCATTTCTTGTTTTGTCATTCCTCAGACTTAAAGTGCCAGGTCATTATCGTGTGGTAATCAGGCTGTGGTATTAGCAATGAGTGGGGTTTGTTTTGCCCCTTATTCTTAACTCTCTGGGTTAAATCTCTCCACTCAGGCCTCCTTAGAGACAGGGTGTCATTAAGCTGCTCCCTGGGCTTTCCTATAGTAGCTGTAAAGATTTAAGCACCTCAGCAATGTTAAGTCTTGTTTGCTTTACATGCTGTATACATTGAGTGAGAAGAAACAACAGCGTGCGCAACATGTCCAGTTACATCAGCAGAAGGAAGGTTTTTCAACAACACAACACATTTGGAAGGTGTGGCGTGTGTGAACACCATAAAAAGGTGCAGAGGGGTAAAGTGTACTCTTCAGGAACACCTCATCTGATGCTTCCACCGAACACATACATTCCAAAACAAACACCAGAGGATGTGGCGCCATTGTCTTTCAAAAAGCTTAAAATAATAAGCAGGTTTTCTGGCAGTCTATATGTCTATAAAAATGTTTTATCGTTGAGTAGAGGTCACACCCCTCTGATACTCAAGTGGGTGGAACATGAACAACACAATAGGGGGTGCAGGCAAGTTGAGTTTGAATGATGGGTGGTAATTAAGGGGCACAAAAAGGGAGGCATGACAGCACGAGGACAGCCGTTATTTAGCTGTGAGAGCCTGACAAAATACAATTAAAAGACATTAAAAGCCACTGATTGACAAGTAAGATTTAGATAAAAGATTTGATTCAGACTGAACCTATGTCGCCTATAGGATGAGACATTTCCATACATATATCTCCTATTTTCTCTTATGTCGTTGTTGTAACACATCATACTCTCCCTCACTAACCACAGCAGTTTTTTACAGTGACTGAAGATTTGTTTTCTTGTCTCACACTGTGCAGAGAAATGAGCCTCGCGTTTGTTTTGAATCTATAAAATCTTCCACGCCTTACTTGGCCAGTCACACTGACAAGTTAGAGACAAATGTCTTTTTTCCACAACCTCATGCTGACCCATCCTCAAATATTACACAGGAAAAAGTTGTTGCCCGTCATCGAAAAGTCATCTGAAAATCAAACGCAGATGTTAAACACCTAAAATGCTGAGAAAGAAAACAAACCTGGGCTGCAGATACCGGTGCAGATATGGTTGGTTATGGCCACTGATGTTTCACGCAGTTTCCCCAAACCTTGCCCCCACCAGGACCTTTACTGTTCCTACAAATCATCACACAGGGAAACAGAGGAACAATCACATTCCTGAGAGAATAATAGGAGGGAGAAATCAACAAGGTGTCATCTGGTGCGATAAGGAAATGTAACAATAAGGTTTGGAGGAACTCCCCAAAGAGCTGACAGAGACAACTCGCCAGGGTCGACCCCGCCACAGTCAAAGGTGATGTGTTTGTTGTGTGGCCGGGTTTTTGCGAGTGCATGACGCACAACAATGTGTAAGAATCCGCAGCATGCCAGTGTCTACAGAAGTAAGGCCATATGTCTGAGAACGGACAAAGCTGTGGGTCCATCTTCTCAGTGGTATGTTGTGCTGCCAGGCATTACTCAAATTCTGAGAATTACTATTATAAATCACACTGGACATCCCAAAGTTCGCCAAATATCCATCATATCATGACTTCAAAAGAAAATCTATAAAAAATGACATCTTGAACATTTCCATTAGATGATTCATACAGTCATGACCAACATGGTTTCCTCTAAAGGCTTCAATATTTCCATAAATGTCAGCATGGTGTGCGGTAGAGGAGAGAGTTTCTTCTTTTTTACACAATACTTGCAGAATTCACACTGTTCACTCACTTAGCAAACATTTCTAACCTGTAGACCCGGGTTAACACACTGTGCGGCCAGTCTGAAGCTCTATGTTCATCCCGCAGGGCAAAGGAGGGGGGTCACAGGAGTGTATAGGCAAATACAGGTATCCTGTTGCTATAAGCAGGAAGGTATATTCTATAGGACCAAGAAGCCAACATAACATTTCCTCTTACGTAACAATTCAAAAAACATCCTTGCACTAACAAAGCCTTCTTTTTAAAAATCAGTTGATTTAACTGTTGCACTGCAGAAAGATTTTATGTGTTTACACTCAGAATGTGACAGTACAACGTCTTTTTCCTCCATACAGCAGGTACAACACCCTCATGGTTTGTGAAATCGTCGTCATGTTGCCTGAGAAAGCCGGGCGACCTGGTGAAATTGAGGCACATAGTAGTGTCACATCAGTTTAGCAGCGAGGCCTGTTGGCTCTGACCTTTCCTTCCAAGCCTGGCACAGTGAGTCCCACCATACGAGGCCTGCGACCAGCCCGGGTCCAAAGACAAGAGGCCGCTCACTCACTCAGCTCCTATGGAGAAACAAATCAGATTACCATCACGTATCTCCTACAATCTACTGCGACAGGATCAGCCCCCAGGCGGCGCTGAAATGGATACAGCAATATAAAACAGCCACGCCGAGGGTAGAGGCAGGATGGACGGGTGTGGGACCAGAAGGGGAGAGAGGTGGGAGCTGTGCGGGCAGGGGAGGTGTCACACCGGTGCGAGTGCAGCAACAATGTGACTTAATTGATTCCATGCCATCTCATCAATTTTGATTAAAATGAAATGAGCCTCTGTACGTTTGAAAAGGTTAAAACAAATTGAAGGTGGAAATCACAGCAGGTAATCACAGTTTTGTCCAACAGCAGGCTTTTAATGAAGTGAGCCACTCTCCATCATTCATTTCAACCACCTCATAGCGAGTGTGTGTGAGCATGTTCACACAAGTCATATTTAGGACAGCATACATTAGGTTGGTATTTGCATTATAGCCTCTTTACAGATGAAATAGTTTCCTGTCAGCAGGAGAAAAAGAATTCATGGTCGCAGCACTCACAGGAAAAATATCAGTTTTGACCAATGAACTGTAGAAATGAATGAAAATGTTCATTGGATGCATATTGATTTACATGACATTTAAAAATACTAATAATACATCATATCTAATGGGTTGAGAAATTAAATTCACATAGATGAGCAAGTATATATTGAACATAAAAAACTATGTCACACTTGACTGAGTTCTTATGATTCAATGCAATATCCACTCCAACAATACAATATTTGCTCAGTGAAGTTAATCAGCAAAATAGATTTACAAGTTGAATCAGAAAGACATGTTTGACATTTTATCACAGCAGGTGTAGATGACAAAATTAATATGTTATGGAATTTTCATGGACACTGTCTCTCTGGGGCACAGTGCAACAGGCTGTTGTGTTTGGGAAGTGCGAGAGCTTGGCGAAGGTC